AAACAATTATTGGACGCTGATGACGTCATCGGCGGAAAATACGTAATAAATGCCGAATACTGAATATTAGCCGGTGCTTTCTGACCAATTAGAAACGAGAATACATATTAAATGTATAATAACAGGAATTACTGATCATGACTTGTCAACTCTATAGCCTTTCCTGACCCTGTCGCGCAACTACTGAAAGTAGAAGGTAAATACGTTTAAATATATAAGAACTGGTTTATAAGATCGATGTTATATGAGATCACATATCCTGCTAGTCATGGGATGAAATACACCCCTCGCTGCTTGTTTCTTGTTTCACCTTTAACGTGTACAAACCCTGATTAACATAACAATATTACGCACATAACCTTGTTTACTGTATCAGACATGATTCGTGCGAATCCGTCAGAACAATTTGTTCACACAAGAATTCGTCCGCGGTTTCATGCGTCTCTTGTGAATTAACGCAAGAGGAAAATCGAACAGAAAGTACCAATTATTCGCTCCCTGTGAAGGAAGCCAGCGATAGTGTATATGAAATAATTATAATTTGTGTTGGATCTGTGCAGTGGCTGAGCAACACACGAAAAAACGCGGAAGTTGCTGTCAAGTCGATATCCAGATTTAGTATTTTTACACAAGTGAATATAAGAAATCCGACGTGGTGATTGGTAATTAAAATTTGACCGGAGGTAAATTTAAAAGTAAAACCTAGTTTACAAAATGGCGACTAGCTGTTTTGTGGAAATCACGTATAAAGAAATAAGCGAAATTAAAATAAATTCAGTCCCAAAAAACACAAAAGACTTGCGTAAAAACAACTAAAACAATTATTCGCCACAGGCTCGGTGACTTCGAACGCCTCGGCCCGATAATCACCTCACACCGCTTGTTCCCAGAATCCCAGGTGTTGTGACAAGTCTGGAACAAGTTATCATCTGGTTACAAGGTTGCTATAACAGCCGACTTGTTATAAGTTGCTCCAACAAGACTAAGACAGGCTAGGCTGTTCGTAACAAATTGCTACGAGCTTGTTGGCATCAACTTGTTAACAACTTGTGACATACAGACGGTATCAGACTTGTTGGAACAACTTGTTGAAAGTCTGTTGGCCTCATCAACCTCATCAACCAAGATGATAACAACTTGTCCAGACTGGCCAGCAACTGGGGACAAGCAGTGCGAACACATCTTGTTAACATGCAGCGATTGTGAGATTTTTACTCGTGCAGTTTAGCTTGGCATTTACACTGCATGGAAGGACTACAAACACTTTGAACAAATATATACCAGAGTTTATATAGCTCTTTATTGACATGGTCAACATTTACACATATTGCTAAAGCTTAGTATAAAGCAATACACCTATAAGAACTAAACTACTGATACAATAAAATATTGGGAACAAATCGCCAGTTTTAAGGCATATTTCTCTTTGCATTCTTCGCATATATGGGTTGTGGTTAGGGACACATACTTTCCATTTGTGTTAATGGTAGATGTTTTCTACAGTAGGTAGACTCTGGCCTAATATAGCCTAAACCCTAATCCAACTTTTTAACATTAACTATTTTAACCTTATTTCCTGCCTCTTTAAGCGAAATTTGAAAGCATTTTAATCGCCTAATACTGTCGGCTAGGAATGGCAAAATGTGCAAAAAATGGCTCATCATTACAAGACCTGAACTGAAAAAAGTGTTTAATGTTCCTCGGATCCTGAATTCGCCTTTTCAAATGTTCCTCAAAAGTCTGTAAAAACAAAACATCTGACCGGACATTACTCCATTATGCATGCCACAACAAAGTATACTCGACTCTATTTGTGTTACATGTCTCAAATGAGATAAGGAATATGTGTGAAACATTTCAAGGTCCTCTTGCTAAGGAAAATGTTCCTCAGGATTCAGGATCTCGAGATCACATTTTTTCCAGTTGCGACCATTATTGCTTAATGCTTACTATCCCAGGCTGAACGCAAATTGAGAAGACGGCTACATGACCAGCCTCATTTTAGCTCTGAGAACGAGACAGATTTCTAGCTCTGAGAACTAGTCTCCTTTCATATGGAGAGGATGGTCCACCTGCCGACTACCAGGGCCGCCGAGAGAATTCGCGGGGATCGAGGCAAATCTTCTCTGGGGGCCCCATGACATCATTATTTTTAAACCCATGTCAGTCACCCAACTATAGACCTTAGCTAAACTGCAATACTGCATGTGGAGCTACTGTAAGGGGCCCTCGATTTCAAGAATGCTCTAACCAATTTAAAGGACCTCAATTTTAGGCTCTCGATCTCACGTTGGGGCCCAATAAGGTGGGGCCGGGCAATTTGCCCCCCTGCCCCCCTCTCGGTAACCTGCGATCAGGCCTATAAATAAATAAATAGGCCTGATACAAACCTTAATAAAAGTCCATGCCGTACAACCGTATTTAGGTTGTAAATCTGATTGGTCTATGAGACAAAAGATTTTTTAATCTGTCATTTGATTGGTTGGTGCTAATTAGATTATACTCTTGTTGTTGATATATTTTATAGCGATCACAACTATAATTAGATTGTTGTTGTCGTTGTGTGAAATTTAAATTTCTCCTGCGACATTTTGATTAGATACTAAATATAAACTTTGCTGTGGATGAAAAGTTATCGGATTAAGGTTTGTGTCAGGCTATTATTTCTAAAATACAGCCTGGTACCCAGGTTACCCCCTCGGCGGCCCTGCCGACTTCACGAAGACAGCAAGTGTTTCGATTTATCATACTTCGAATCCGTCTAATAGAACATAACCAATGTCATGCCTTAATAATCCAGGCTTTCCGGGACTGTAGAGGGCTGCAAAAAAAAGGGAGGACTGTAAGTACGATAGCAATTAAAAGCTGGTGATCATTTGGGGGTCGTTCATAATTATCAACATTTTCACAAACCTCCCCACCCCCACCCCCTCAGAGCGTGCTCTTAAATGTTGAATCTCAGAACTGATGATGACGAGTCTATAATCAATATTCTAAAAAGCGTACATCAGACATTGGTATAGAGGTACTGGTAGTGTATAAACCAGGGCTTCGGTGGCGCAGTGGTCAGAGCAAGCGTCTTTCGCCTCTGAGATCGTGGGTTGGATTCTCGCTACGGACTCATGTGAAAAGAGTCAGTCAACGTTCTGCCGAAAGTCGTGGGTTTTCTCCGGGCGCTCCGGTTTCCTCCCACAGGGAAAGTTGACAGGGTGGGTTAGGATAAATATAGTTAGGAAAGTAATATCACAATTGTTGTAAAAGATAATTAGTCTAGGCTAAGTAGATAATACAAGTAAGCGTAATACTTGAGATCGGTCACTGAAAAGCCCCGTTGGGGAGTGAGCTGAATAATATATGCATGTAACTAAACGTGATTGGCTGATTTGTGGTCACGTGGATTTAGATAAATGCAATGTATCCCGTCGGGCAACAAGTGAAAAATTGTTGTCCGCTCCGACCGGCTACGTAAATAAATGATCAAAATTGGAGGAAAAGGTTTAGAAAGAAATTTTTTCCAGTTCCAAACATGCAACAAGAAATGCTGCTGAAACGCTTTTTATCAGGTTCTCTTAGTGCTAAAATAAAGTTTCTTCATGAAATATAATTGTTTTGTGTAGATGTTGTTGATTTTCTCTTCGTTGCTATATAACAAAACACTTAATATCTGTTCCCTCGGGAAATAATTTGTTAATTTGTTTTCCCAAATGTTTCAAACGTTTTCCCCAGACTCCAATTTTGATCGTCTTTGATAAATTCTCACTCGTACATGTTTTTTCCAAATTATACTCGAACACATTCAATAGACCATAATGACGCATTCAACAGACTGTGCTGTTTTGCCCCAATGGCCTCGTTTTCATGTGGTTATTCCCCATGTTTCGTGCACAATAGCGTTAAGTATAGGATTGTGATCAAGATCAAAGAGAAACATATTCTTGCACCAATCATCATCCCATGGGAATATGACCTTAACGTAACCATACCTAACTAGCTATATATGCAGAGGTTCTCTGGTGTCAGGTGAGTTTTAACCACAGCCTTAAGCTAAACAGGAAACTCCCTCATCCAGAGTACCTTAACGTGCGGCTGCCATTCTAAATTATATAACGTTAGAATTCAAGCGCTTTCATTGGTCGAGAACCATTATCTATTAGAGGACAGTTTTGTGCAGCCAATCACAACACAACACGTGACTTAAGGTAAGGCGTGATATTTGCAAAATTCCGACTTTTTCAAATTTTCAAATGTTTGGGTTTTTTGATTGATTGATTGACATCTTTATTTAAAACACGAGGTCCATTTCACAGGTTATGTTATGTGCTCTTCAATGGAGACGTGTACCTATACTAGTCGACTAATTACTAATAAAAAAGTATCAAACTATTTACAAAAGTAACAAACTACACATGCAAAGAAACTAATATAAAAGAAATATTAAGATATTTTAGATTTAAACTCAGCGAGAGATTGAACTCTAGTGAGTTCGACGGGTATGTCATTCCATAGGGTAGCTCCTCTGTAGGAAAAACTTTTCTTCAAGGATTCCGTTAAGGGTCTTGGTACAAAAAGTTTCTGATGATTAGATCCACGCAAACTATGTTCGTGTATCATTGACGTGGAAGTAAATTTTCCAGACAAATAACTAGGAACCATATTATTAACAGTTTTGTACATAAAAGTTTTGAACTGTTGGGTACGTCTGGTTTCAAGGTTGGTCCAATTCAATGATGTTAAAATGTCTGATGACCGAATGTTATAATCAGATTCAGTAATAATTCTTGCGGCCCTATTCTGTAATCGCTGTAACCTTTGTCCAAGACCCTTACCTAGGCTATCCCAGACAATACTACAATAATCAAAGTAAGGCTGTGCTAAAGAGTTATAGATCATGACAAGAGTTGACTGTGGGAGCAATGGGTTTAGTCTTCGTAGAACTCCAATCACCTTGGAGACTTTGGAGATTATAGTAGAAACATGATGCTCCCATGTCAAACTCTCGTCCAGTTTTAAACCTAAACACTTATAAGATCTAACTCTTTCAATTTTGTTTCCGGCGATAGCAATATTAGGTTCTTCAGGAATAGTACTTAATTTTTGCCTGGATGCCATAAACATACATTTAGTATTAACCGCATTCAGGCTTAGTTTATTCTGGTTTTCAGGCTTAGTTTATTATAAAACGTAAGCTATTTACCTGTTTAATTTGGAGTTTATCTTTTTATTAATAAAACAAATAGATAAGATTTTGCCGTTATCTGTTCAGTTATAAATACACAGTATGACATCATAATGTGGGGAGAACAAAAAAGTGACCCACTCGCCTCGGCGGCGCACGAGCCGCTTTTTTGTTCATTATGACGTCATACTGTGTATCTATAACTGAACAGACAACGGCAAATCTTATCTTCCAAACAAACAAACAAACAAACAAACCTCAATGAAAACGAGTTCAACCACGGGCCCATCCACGGCCCCTGCAACGGGCCCATCCACGGGGCCTGCAACGGGCCCATCCACGGGGCCTGCAACGGGCCCATCCACGGGGCCTGCAACGGGCCCATCCACGGCCCCTGCAACGGGTCCAACAGCACGACGCATGGCACGACGCATCTAACGGCAATAGAAAGGTTGAATTGCAAAATCAGTAAAACTGGGTAAAGAAGCGCAGCAAAAACGATACAACATCAGACAAACATAGAGTACAGCAGAACAGAATGCCAAAAACACACCACTGGCGCAATACGACGCCTAAATGCGACTCAAGGCAAAATAGCACACGAAAACACAATACAAAAAGAAGCAACATAGCAAAACAAGGATAACAAGAACAATTAACGCTGGAACAATGGACTGGGACTCAAACGAAACAGTTTAGAACCGACAGTTTAGCAGTATACAACATAAAATATAAAATATATTAAAATAATATATAGCATGACACAAGACAGAACAAATAATCCAGGGCAATGCAACACAAACATAACGCCCAATATACAAATTAGACTTACCATCATCAGTACCACATTTTGTACAGCTTGTTGTCGCTGTGTTATCATAGTAAGATACTGCAATAGAAAAAAAAGCATTTGTAAATATCTCATACTTTCATCCAAATTCAACGACCGGTTTGTCCTTTACCGGTGGCCAGTAGTTCCATTTTTGTATTAAACATGTCATTAGGTTTTGAGTCATCCTACTGACAAATAGGGATTTGCCGGATCCGGATACCGGTAAATTTAGACATCCGGCACTATCCGGTATAAATTTGCCGGATATTTACCGGATAGTACTGTAAGATATTTTGTTACAATTATGAAACGGAAAAGTTTACTTGGTTTTTAAAAATTGTGAAACACGAACAATTACTGAGCGTGCGCTGCATTACGACGAAATTACGACATATTTTTTTCGTGATGGTGATGTGAACTGCTCGTTCGCCAACAGCAGTGAATTTTATATACTGAATACCAGTAAACAATGTAAGATGAATCATACGATATGGCCTTGGTAAAGACAAATAGGTCAAAGAGACAAAAAACTCTTGAAGTTATTGTATTAAACACATTGCCACATTGGACTAGTTAATTAAGCTATAAAAATGTTGTGTTTCTAATAAATTATT